ATGGTGGAAGAACCCAGAGCAAGTAAGCAGTTCTTGGTTAGCCTGTCCATGCAGAAGGTGTGGAGTGGGAGAGTTATGACTGGGTGTCTGGTGTCTCTTGGACTTTTGAAAACAGCCTCATGAAGAACTGTATTCTTATAGGTGGACCTTTACCAGTTCATGGCCAAAGACAATGTTCCCTTTCATGGCTTAGTCTTTCCTTGTTCAGCTCTGGGAGCTGAGGACAATTACACCTTGGTGAAGTATCTCATTGCTACAGGTAAGTATCCCCAGAAGACCTCAGATAGAATGGTGCTGGCGAATGAGGGCTGAGGGTGCTTGGAAGATCTTGGAGGTTGTTAGGTCTTGAGTTAGGAGTTGAGATGAAATAGGAAATAATTAGTCTGGGGAGATAGATTAGCGGTCTAAGTGCCTGCCTGGCAAGTGCAAGGACCTGGGTTCAGTCCCCCTTACTGCATGCTGTGCCTGCCACTGAAGCCGGGCGTGGTGGCACATGCCTGTAATCCCAGCGCTGGGAAGGCTGAAACAGGATCACTACAAGTCCGAACTGCATAGTGAAACCCTGTATCAAATAAATAATTAAAATATTAAAAAAGAAATAGGAAGTAATTAAAACATAAGAACTTTACCCACAGGAAGGAAACAAGAACCTGAAGAAAATAACAGTGCAAAAAAAACCTGCGTAAAAAAAGACCCAAATGGGGGCGGGTGAGATAGCTCAGTGGTCCAAAGCGCCTGCTTACACAAGCTTAGGCAGGTGCAGGGGACCACAGTTCCATCCTGGGCACCACATGCTGCGCCAGCCCCACCTTCAGTGTGGGCAGAGCTGGCCAAAAAACCCAAAAAGACCCAAATGGATAAAGGGGACACTCCCAAGTTCTCCATAGACCAGCTAGGTGTTATATTGCTAGGGACTCCGCTGAAGTTGAAGCAGAGGGAAGAGTTAGGTCACAGAGAAAGAATGATTTGAGCAGATGGTTCTCCCTCATCTCTGTCCAGAGTACCTCAACTATGAGGATGGGAAGTTCTCTAAGAGCCGGGGTGTGGGAGTGTTCGGAGACATGGCCCAGGACACAGGGATCCCTGCTGACATCTGGCGCTTCTATCTGCTATACATTCGGCCTGAGGGCCAGGACAGTGCCTTCTCCTGGACAGACATGCTGCTCAAGAATAATTCTGAGCTGCTCAACAACCTGGGCAACTTCATCAACAGGTGAGTTGTCATGGCTACTTTTCTCTTACTGATGAGACAATGTACCTGGCACCCAAAGTTGAAGGAGAAATGGTTTATTTAGTTCACAGTTAGTAGAGATTTTTGTAAATCCGCTGGCTCCAAGGCAGGGTGACTCATGACAGAGGGCAACTGCATTCATGGTAGTGGAAGACACCAAAGTGGTAAGGAGGGGCGAGCAGGCCTCCTTTCGTCCTTTATATCATATGCAGGCTGCCTACCATAGGGCAGGTGTTACACTCACACCTTTAAGCCCAGCATTAGACCATAAATCAGTCACAAATTCTAGATTCAGCTGCCTCTAAAAAGCCACCCCCCATACAGTGCTGGGGTTGTTTTGTTTTGTTTTGCTGAACCGGGTATTGAACTCAGGCCCTTGCACTTGCCAGGGAAGCGCTTATTCCACTGAGCCATCTCCCCGGCCCCGGAGTTGCAGTTTTGAGGGAACAGGTAGACATAGAACATAACTTGAGTCTTGGTGAGGGGTCAGGGTCAGCAGATGTGCTGGGAAGAGGCCAGTTGTCCCTCCAGAGACAGAAACATGAAGAGAATAAAGGGACAGGAGCCTGTGAGGGACAGGGTAATGTGGAATGTTGGTTTCTATCAACTGGGACTTGACCTCAGGACACAGGAGCCCATATCTGCTTGAGGGTAATTAGCTACAGGTGTAATTTTGCAAAACAAATGGATTTTTGTTTTGAGACACAGTGTCACTGTGTTCATGGCTGACCTGAGACTCAGTGTGTAGCCCACACTGACATCAGATTTGCTATTTTTGGGCCTTAGCCTCCCAAGCACTGGGATTACAGGTATAGGACACCATAACCAGCTCTTCCCAGAGTAGATTTTTATTGATAAAGCATTCACCTGCAGACTAGAAAAGTGTAGCTGAGGAAAAAGAGCTTTCTTTGTGTTGGGATGGGATAGGTCTATTTTTCAAAGTTGATACCTTAAGCTCACATTCCACTGTTGGTACCTATTACAATAATTTTACAGTCCAAAAAAATATCCTTCATGGCTTAGGGTTCTTCAGTCCCTCTCAGAGCCCTGGGTCTTTAGCTCAGCCCTGTTACTTAGCTTTTCAGGTTTAGTCACCAGCCGTATTTAACAGATAATTCTTCATTAGAGTACTTGTTTGGTAGCAGCTCACAATAATACATTTCAACTTCACTTGAAGATAGTGATTCTTTTTAATGTCCAGGCATAGATTCAGTTTTCAATATCTCCCGTTCCCAAATATAAAAGTACAGTTAAATTTTATCAAAGAGTAAATTTTTCTTTTCTTTTCTTCTGTGGTACTGGGGATTGAACTCAGGACCTGTGCGTTCTAGGCAAGCACCACTGAGTTACATCCTCAGCCATCACGAGTCTAAATCTTGAGATAGACAACAAAGAATTTGTGGGTGTTGTGGCCCATGCCTGTAGTCTCAGTAGCACTTGGTAGGCTGAGGTAAGAAGATCACTGTGAGTTTAAGGCCAGCCAAGGCTACTTAGTAAGGTAAAGAGTAGTCTGAACTACATAGCAAGACCCTATCTCAGGAAAATAAAACAAATCCTCAAGCCCCAAGAATTTAAGCCTTGCTTTCTACCTTTTTTTTTTTTTTTTGCAGAACCAGGGTTTGAATTCAGGCCCTTGCGCTTGCCAGGGAAGCACTTACTCCTCTAAGCCATCTCCTTGGCCTCTCTACTTTGAGGGCTTAGGAGCTATTAGTTCTGGGCAGGAATCCTGAGAAAAGTTGTGGAAATTGAGTCAAATTTATAAAAGGAGACTAGAAAATGATTTTTTTCGCTTCTTCCCTATTTGCATCAAGAGCTGGGATGTTTGTGTCTAAGTTTTTTGGGGGCTCCGTGCCTGAGATGCTGCTGACCCCTGATGATCAGCGTCTGCTGGCCCATATCACCTTGGAGCTCCAGCACTATCACCAGCTACTGGAGAAGGTTCGGTGAGTAGCCTGCACCTTTGTCTCATCTCAGTGATGAGACACTGGCATGTTGAAACCTCCCCATTCTCCAGGATCCGGGATGCCTTGCGCGCTATCCTCACAGTATCTCGCCATGGCAACCAGTACATTCAGGTCAATGAGCCCTGGAAGCGGATAAAAGGCAGTGAGGCTGACAGGTACGTTAAGGAGAAAGGGCTGGCTGCCAGGATTTAGTAGCTGTCAGACCATGTCCTCCTTGAGGTCTTGACTAATCTCATCCCTTCCTCAGGCAGCGGGCGGGCACCGTGACAGGTGTGGCAGTGAACATTGCTGCCTTGCTGTCTGTTATGCTACAGCCTTACATGCCCACAGTGAGCGCCACCATCCAGGCCCAGTTGCAGCTTCCACTGCCTGCCTGCAGTGTCCTTCCCACAGACTTCCTGTGTACCTTACCAGCAGGGCACCAGATTGGCACAGTAAGTCTTTTAAGTCAGAAGGGCCAGCCTTTCTTACCATCCATACTTGTCATGCAGCCGGTGGTATGAAATTAAGGATTTGTATTCTCCACCTTTGGTTGAGGGGCAGGGCTCCTAACAGCTGTTCTTAGAACCCCTTCCTTACTCTGTACTTGGGCTGTTTCTGACAATACATCCTTAGTATCAGTTTGCAAGCTGAGTATTATCTGCATATCCTTAATACTCTTCATGCTGGAACCCTAGTACCTGGCCCGTAAACATCACTGGTTTAAGAAGTCCGATATAATCTAATGGGCGTGAACGCAGGGTAGCCAAAGAACTAGATGAATGTGGCATCATTAAATTCTCTTTGATCCTATGGCTTAGTGAATGCTGCTTTTTCTGAAATTTGTTCAGCTTTATGCTCATATCTCTTCTAAAACATTTAGGATTTTAAATATCAAGAGTGGGGTTGGAGGGCTGGGGAGATAGCTCAGCAGTCTAAGCACCTGCCTGGCAACCACAAGGACCCAAGTTGGACCCCTGGTACCGCATGCTGTGCCAGCCCCAAAACTGGGATTGGTGGCACAGTCTGCATTCCCAATGCTGGGGAGCCTGAGACAGGAAGATCACTACGAGTCCAAGCTGCCTAGCAAGACCCTGCCAAATAAATAAAGAGTGGGGCTGGAGAGTGTGGTAGAGCTTATGTATAAGCCATGAATGATTCTGAAATTTTTTTCTCAGGTCAGTCCCTTGTTCCAAAAATTGGAAAATGACCAGATTGAAAATCTGAAGCAACGTTTTGGAGGAGGCCAGGTGAGAGCTAGACTGTGCCCTCACCCAGCAGTACCTCCTGTTTCCCCAAGTAGCCCTTACTCATAACTCCATCTTTTAGCCTTCCTGCTTCCTCACTTAGTTTTTCTTTCCCATCTTAGCTAGAAGAGTCCTGAGTTAAAGGTAAACATTTTCCCTGAGATATTATATAAAACTAAACTGGAGGTCAGAGGGTATTTATGGCAGCCCACGATAACTCTTGTTTCCAGGCAAAAATATCACCCAGCCTAGCGGTTGTAGAGACTGTTACAACAGCTGGGCCACAGCAGATTCAAACACTGATGGAAGAAGTCACAAAACAGGTATGAAGCTTAACCTGAGAGAGATTGGGAAAGCTGAATTCTAACCAGCTCCTTTTGTGGACCTGTCTCACCAGGTGTCACTGTTTCCTCTGGCCTTTTCTTAGGGCAACATTGTCCGAGAACTGAAAGCACAAAAGGCAGACAAGAACCAGGTTGCTGCGGAGGTGGCACAACTCTTGGATCTAAAAAAACAGTTGGCTCTAGCTGAGGGGAAACCCCTTGAAACACCCAAAGGCAAGAAGAAAAAGTGAGAGAATGAAGTCACAAGTCACTTTAATGGATGTGGACAGTAATAAATAAATGTACAACCTCTATTTACAAGCCGGGACCTGTTCCTTTTTTCTACCCCAAACATTTGAAGGTCACATTATTGGCACTAGTAGGAAGATGGTCAATGGCTACTTCTGGGAAAGGTAGGTATTAGCCAGCTGGAGATGGATGATCCATTTGTTCATGCTTGGTGTAGATTAACCATTCGGTCAATCAGAGCTCGACGTGTGGCCTCTACTTCCCTTGTCAGGCACTCAATTTCCTGTTTAAGCCGTTCATTCTCTTCTGTTAGCTGTGCCACTTTCCTTTCATTCTCCTGTTCTTTTTCCTTTACACGTTGCTTTCCAGCCCGAATAGACCACTGGCCACTCTGTTTCCGTTTCCGGGCTCTTTCCTGGCTTTCTTCCTCTTCTTCCTGAGCTAGGGAGCTCCGACTGGAATCTGGAGACCGAGGGCTCTGAGAGGTACTTGTTACTTCTGCTGGTCCTGGCTCCTCAGTCAGCCAAGCAAGAGATGTAGGGTCAAGAGTGGTGAATGTTTTTGAGTCTTCCTTTAAGGAAATGAGAAAAAGGAAAGTAGATATATTTGTTGATAATGGAAAGGTAACATCACCCTTGTTCTCAGCTTTAGTTTGTTTTTATCATCTTTTCTGAGACAGGGTTTCACTATGCCATTCAGGCTGGCCTGGAACTCATTTTGTAGCTCAGGCTGTCCTAGAACTCAACAGTGATTTTCTGTTGGGATTATCAGGGTGTACCACTATGTCCAATCTAGGTTGGTTTTTGTTTTGTTTTGTTTTGTTTTCCAGAGAGGGTCTTGCTATGTAGGTCAGGCTGACCTCTTGGCAATCCTCCTGCTTCAACCTCCCCAGCACTGGGATTACAGGTGTACACTACCACCCCAAGCTTGTTCTCAACATTAGGACTAGCACTCTCACCTCTTCCTTTCCAGGGGGTAAGATACAGTTACTCCCATTTTCATCTGAGGACAGGACTTCCTGCAGGTCCTCATACCAAGCTTCCAGCTCCCAGTTGGGCACTGCCCCAAAGGAGAAAGGCAATGATTCAGCTGCCATCTCTGCAGTTGGAGTAGGTTCTGGAAAATAAACATTCAGCAGGGCTGGTGAGATGGCTCAGTGGTCTAAAGCACCTACCTAGAACAAGCTAAGCTAAAGCACAGAGACC